GCAAGCTCACGTTGGCTGAAGAGGAGATAACCCGAGAATCTCAAAATCATGGAACCGAAGAATCTGCTGTTAAAATGGTACAGTCCACAGGTACTTCTATCCAATAATATAAGATGGGTGTATAAAATGTTGTATTCCGGCAAAGATTTCTTATAAGAATATACAACCTGCAACTATTTTTCTTATTGGACATAGGAAAAAGAGAGAACCAAGCGTGTCCAGATCAAATTTATTGTGTACACGTAATGTATTGGACAAGTTCTGGGGTCTCCAAGTGAACCTCTTTGTCAGGCTTTAGAGCATCAAATGGATTAGAATCCAAACTGAAGAAGATTTAATGATTATAAGATACAGTTAGTGGGGTAGATAGGACACACTCCAGTAGTTGGTTTAGAAATTCCATCCTTAGTCATTCCATGTTCTATAGTCTCGGTTCTGTTTTGATTATTTTAAACCCCCAATGAAGAGGGGGACCCCCCGTAAGTGTTAGCTTACCACTGGATGTTCTGAGAAATACATTTAAATTGGACTCTTTTCTTCTAATATCTCATACTTTGTTCCAAGAACCATTTAGTAACCCTTCTGTACTTGACCGCTGCCTTACTTGATCCACAACATGGGGAATACAACTGATTCCTGGAGATCCAGTGCTCCAGAACCCCTACCTACCACACCAATTTATTTAATGTCCTTCTCTTTGTTTGTTGTATTTTTTTTTAAGAGTACTCCTAAAAATTGTTCTGAACCCTGGGGGGGAAATTTGTGTAAGAAGACATGAACCAAGCTATTCATTGGAATCATCACTATAACAGCATCTGTAGTATAGTAGACGGTTAAGTCAACCAACATCCACCATCAACCATTCTAGAGGTCTTAATCACAGCTTTGTAGACCTCCTTTGTGCACCACCACTTTGAACCTAGTTTTAGAATGCAATTTAGACATTTTTAGAGCTGTGCAATCCTTTATTATCTATAGAACCCCCCTTATCCCATGACCCTCTTATCCCATGACCCCCTTATCCCATGATCCCCTTATCCCGCCAGTGCCCTATTTTATCTACAAGAGTGCAGCCCCATTTAACCAACCTTTGCCAGTCCATCAACTTATTTACAGCAGTGCAAGCAACCAGCACAAACACTGCCCTGACCGAACTATATATACAGCTCATACATACACACAAGACCTAAATAATAATATACAGCTCCCATAACACTTAAGGCTCTCACTCAGGCTTTTGTTTTGAAGGATCACCCACCCAAAACTGATATTTGAGGTGCAGATCGGCTAAAACACCCAATGGCTTTCCTATATTCATTTTAGTCTGATTTCAGCAGCCAGACATCTTCACCTGGATTCCCAGAGCTGCCAGCACTACCAAGGAGTCTCACTCTTGCTGTTCCAATGTCTGTAATGTGACAGAACCAACCACGATAGTTTGTAATGGGCAAAGTAGGTAGCTGGAGCTGGCTGTTCAGATGCATCAATCCCGTCTTGGAGCCTTCCATAGAAAACTGGTGGATGATTCAACCTGGAATCTCTGCTGACCGTAGTATCTGTTTTAGGTGGAATGACCCTTTAAATACTAAATGGTGCAGTTCTTTTTAACAGTACAAGAAACTACATTGGTGGAAGGTGAGGCGGCTTATGACATGACACGAAAAAATCATTTTATCCCCCACCACCCCTACCTATACTTGTGGCCTTTTTCTCTTTGTCCATTGGATTAGAGTGGTTTAGGCTCCAGGGATCAAAATCTCCCCAAAATTAAAAGTGCAGCCATGTGTACAGCGTCAGGATAGAGTAAGGGGTCTAGTAGCTTATATACATTCAGTCCAGTAATTAGTTTAATGAGTGCATTGATCATTAACTGCTTTACATAAATAGTTGTAATGATTCTCCATAATACGGCTATCCATCGCTCTTTCATTAACCTCATACAAGATCGCAGTGACCATGCCAAAAATGTCCAAAACTTGAGCACTTTTAGCAAGGTTTGCCTCCAGGATTATTATTTAGCGTCTAAATCTAGCGACGAGCAAAAAAAAAATAAAAAAACTATTTCATGCAAGGTATTGTCAGCCCACCATATGCTGAATCTTCAAATGAACTCCCAGATTCCAAAATTTGTTCTTTTATCAAAAGGTTACTCCAAACAAAACTGATATTTCAGTCATGGATGGACCCTGGTGGGCTGAGATGTCCACTGGTAATATAGTGGCAACGGTTCCCTTATGTGGTATCTTGTTCTACTCTCAACTCCTTGGAGCCTTTCTTCACTGTTGTATTCACTTTAATAAAAAAAAATTAAAAAATAGATCAAATATCCAGCCAGGAGGCTGAGAGTCCCTTGTGGTTGTCATGAAGGTTGAGCAGAGCTGGGAAATCAAAGAGATTTCCCCACTGAAGTGCTAGAGAGGTCAAAGAAGTCAGGGAGTGATCTACCTCACCAGTTTCCACCAAAATATCCATAAAATTAAAGACATAGAAAAGCAGATCATCCACCAATTGTTAAAGGAACCCTCAAAATCCTATCCTTTCCCTTATCTCAAGTTCTAATCCAAAACGTATGATCTTCCTAAGCTTTAATTTTCTATGATCTCAACCAACATATCGGGACACCTTAAGCCATAGAAAGCAGATCATTCACCAACTATCAAAGGAACCCTCAAAAGCCTACCCTTTCCCTTATCTCAAGTTCTAATCCACAATGTATGATCTTCCTAAGCTTTAGTTTTCTATGGTTTCAACCAGAATATCAGGGCACTTTAAGCCATAGAAAAGCAGATTATTCATCAATTATCAATGAAACCCTCAAAATCCTACCCTTTCCCTTATCTCAAGTTCTAATCCACAATGTAAGATCTTTTAAACTTTAGTTTTCTATGGTTTCAACCAGAATATCAAGACACTTTAAGCCATAGAAAAGCAGATCATTCACCACTTATCAAGGGAACCCTCAAAAGCCTACCCTTTTCCTTATCTCAAGTTCTAATCCAAAACGTATGATCTTCCTAACTTTGATTTTCTATGGTTTCAACCAACATATCAGACACTTTAAGCCATAGAAAAGCAGATCATTCACCAATTATCAAAGGAACCCTCAAAAGCCTACCCTTTTCCTTATCTCAAGTTCTAATCCACAATGTATGATCTTCCTAAACTTTAGTTTTCTATGGGTTCAACCAGAATATCAAGACACTTTAAGCCATAGAAGAAGCAGATCATTCACCAGAGGAACCCTCAAAAGCCTACCCTTTCCCTTATCTCAAGTTCTAATCCACAATGTATGATCTTCCTAAACTTTAGTTTTCTATGGTTTCAACCAGAATATCAAGACACTTTTAAGCCACCAAAAAACAGACCTTCTACCACTGTCCATGGAACCCTCAAGACTCTACCCTTTCCCTTATCTCAAGTTCTAATCCACAATGTATGATCTTCCTAAGCTTTAGTTTTTTATGGTTTCAACCAGAATATCAAGACACTTTAAGCCATAGAAAAGCAGATCATTCACCAATTATCAATGAAACCCTCAAAATCCTATCCTTTCCCTTATCTCAAGTTCTAATCCACAATGTAAGATCTTTTAAGCTTTAGTTTTCTATGGTTTCAACCAGAATATCAAGACACTTTGAGCCATAGAAAAGCAGATCATTCACCACTTATCAAAGGAACCTCAAAAGCCTACCCTTTCCCTTATCTCAAGTTCTAATCCACAATGTATGATCTTCCTAAGCTTTAGTTTTCTATGGTTTCAACCAGAATATCAAGACACTTTAGCCATAGAAAAACAGATCTTCTACCACTGTCCATGGAACCCTCAAGAATCTACCCTTCCCCTTATCTCAAGTTAAAATGTAAAATGTATGATCTAACTAAGCATTGATTTTCCATTGTACAGACACATCTCAATTTGTTTTAATTGTTGAGGCCTTTGCAAAGTATTTATGTCCTATCACCCTTACCTTGTAGGCCCTGAAGGCCCTAACCCAACTCTATCATGTCTCTCTCTGAAGATCTTTTTGTTTATTAATAATACAGATGTCTGTTTCTTTTTCAGGATCTTGGAAGCTTTTCCTAAGAATTTATGTCCAGTTGCTGTGCTTAAAACCACTCTCTTATTAGTATGTAGACTGAGCATTGAAGGTGCTTTTGGAAATGGCACAATGGCCAATGAAAATCTGGGTAATCCACCAACCAACTTTACATAATTGATCCATCCATACACAACTAATCGCATTTTGCCCAACTTTTTCCTCACAACAAACTTTCAGCTACATAGGCTGCCTTTCTCAACCACTTCAATCTGTTTTTCTATCTTTCATCATATTAACACTTCCAGTGACCTCACGCCATTCATTGGCTCGTCCTCCAGGTGAAGTCCATGTATTCCGCCTATCTCGCTCCTGAATGGAAACATTGTACCATAGTTTGAAGCAGAATTTACATGTGACATCCTGTCATTTTCATGCCCTGTGCTTCAGGTAACCAAGTAACAGATTGCAAGTTCTTTGGGTCAATGTCCAGATCTTTTTTTCTTATTCATGTTCCTCAAATGATGGTTAAAAAAAAAAAAAAAAAAAAAATTCTAGAACTTTTTTTTCGACGCGTTACTTGAAAATATAAGTGCTAAGTACACGGAGTAAGGAGAGTCAGGTCGCCGACTAAGAAAGCGTTTGGGGAAGTCACATTTTCTCCTAAGATGTCTGCATGCAGAGCTCACGTCAATAAAACGGCTAGCACACGTGCACGATGGTTTGGGCGCAGGGAGAAAGAATACTGTATTAATGCGGCCGACCCCGCCACGCTCGTCATATCGTAATGCTTCCCATTTTCCTCGCAGAGGTTAGAAAAAAGAAAAAAAAAAAAAAAGCCAATGAACATCTTTGAATGCTCCAGTCGAACCGAAGAACCAGAAAGCTCTTGGCGCGTTCCTCATGCTGTTTTCATCATGATCGCCATCTGTAAGTGTCTCGAGTAAACAGTCCCAGCGGTTGTTAGGAGTCCACTCTGTCGGGCTGAGTAACAAACTTTAGAGGCATCAAACCGTGCCGGTTTCCGAGGCCACACTGCAGGCGGTCAGAGTGTGCGTCATAGACAAAGTTGAGGTCTGGCTGTTTCGGCTCTGTGCGATGGCATACGGAATTCACCTGTCTGATTAGAGAAAAAAAAAAAAGACCATTTTAGTCAACTAAATGAGGGTTGACTAAGGAAGGCTGGAGCTTTTGACCTCAAAGAGGAACTTCAGTACCCATTAATTTGTCCCGTCCCCCCCTTTGGGTGCCTCCATCTTTAGAAAACATTACCCAAATGAGGAGTGCTCTTTTTATTTATTAGTACATGCTCGGTACAACACAATGTCCATTGCCGGAGACCCAATTGTCCATGGTTAGATATTATTTTCTTTCATAGAGCTTGACCTTGTCTGTACCAATGTTGGAGGAACATAATATCTAACCATGGACAATTGGGTATCCCACCATGGGCATTGTGTTGTACTGTGCATGTGCTGAAAAGACAGCTGTGTTGTAATGTTTTAATTATTTTATTTTTGTACCATAAAGAGTGGCATATTTTGCCTTTTATGATAAGTTTGTATATGGCCTTGGGAAAAGATACGGAAGTTTCGAATGTCATCTTTAGAATTCTGGCATGGACTTCAAAACCAACCTGCGGCACATCTGTGCATGTGCTGTAAGGTTCCTTAAGAACCAGGACCTCATACAGCACCATCTTTGCACATACAAAGGAAACCCAAACACAAAGGTCTCTGGAAGGTGCCAGGTGATGTTGTGAAACATGGTGCCATTCTACTGACCCCCCCCCCACACACCTTCTCTGGAAGGTGCTAGATGGATGTTATGAAACACGGTGCCATTCTACTGACCCCCCCCCTCTCTGGAAGGTGCTAGATGGATGTTATGAAACACGGTGCCATTCTACTGACCCCCCACACCTTCTCTAGAAGGTGCCAGATGGATGTTATGAAACATGGTGCCATTCTACTGACCCCCCCCTCTCTGGAAGGTGCTAGATGGATGTTATGAAACACGGTGCCATTCTACTGACCCCCCACACACCTTCTCTAGAAGGTGCCAGATGGATGTTATGAAACATGGTGCCATTCTACTGACCCCCCCCTCTCTAGAAGGTGCCAGATGGATGTTATGAAACATGGTGGCATTCTACTGACCCCCCCACCCTCTTTGGAAGGTGCCAGATGGATGTTATGAAACATGGTGCCATTCTACTGAGCCCCCCCCCGCCTTTCTCTAGAAGGTGCCAGATGGATGTTATGAAACATGGTGCCATTCTACTGACCCCCCCCAACTTCTCTGGAAGGTGCCAGATGGATGTCATAAAACATGGTGCCATTCTACCGACCCCCCCCCCCCCTCCCCCACGCACACACACGCTACCCCCACTCCTACCTTAATCATAGGGTGTTTCCGTAGGTTTTTGAATTTGGCATGGCTGTATGTGGCTGTATTCACACAGCTGCATCATCCATTCACAGATTCATTCACAGGGAACTGCTATAATATAGTGATTTCCAATAACTGGCAGCGCTATCTAGTGGCCATGATGCTGTATTTGTACTGATTAGGATATTTCAGGAAAAACACAGCATTACGGCCCCTAGATGGCACCGCCACTCATTGGAACTCACGGGTCAGAATTTGTCATGAGTGAGCGCTTGTTATATTCGTCCAATTATTTTTTTTTTTTACTAGACCCCCGAAGTGTAGCTGTGAAAAATGAAGTTTGTAAGGTCCTGTTTGGCTGCTTACCGAATATTCTGGGAAGATGGAGAGAGGGACAGAGCTCCAGCGTCTGATCCTGCCATGGCCTCCTTCTCCGGGGCTGCTTCTCCCCAGAGCCCTGCGCTCACGGTCTGTGCCACCATCTGGAACATCGACTTATCCAGGCTGAGCCAGCCCGAGGGCAACCTGCGGCAGAGGAAGAACCACACTGCACTGAGTGGGGGCTCATAAAATATTCATGCCTCTTCAAGGGCAGATAACAACGTGCTGGTAGCTTGGGGCCTTCTGATACAAAAGAATGCGAGACAATATACAGGATAGGAAATACAAATATAGACCGTGGAATGGAGGACATGCAGATTCCCTGTATTGTAACCTAGAAAGCCCATGGTGGCTGCCTCTTGCAGCGCTGGGGATTTAGTTCATTCTAGTTCATCCCAGGGATATACTAAGTATGAGGCTTGCATGGCCTCCCCATATTTATGGGGGTTTCCATCCAAAAGTATTATTATTATTATTATTATTATACAGTATTTATAAAGCGCCAATAGTTCGCTCAGCTCTGTACATTACAAAGGGGGACAGAACATGTGACAGAACAATACCAATACAATGCAAAACATGAGGGGATTGAGGGCCCTGCTCCTTGGAGCTTACAATCTAGGAGGGAGGGGATGGTGGCACAGGAGGAGATAGCTGTGGGGGATGGAGTGGTAGGAAGAGTGGAGGAGGTCGGCAAGTTAGCAGGGGGTGAGGTAGGCTTCCCTGAAGAGATGGGTTTTCAGGGTACGCCTAAAGGAGAGGAGAGTAGGTGATAATCTGATGGGTTGTGGAAGGGAGTTCCAGAGGACGGGTGACACCCTGGAGAAGTCCTGGAGGCGGGCATGGGAGGAGGAGACCAGGGAACTAGAGAGAAGGAGGTTTTGTGAGGAGCGGAGTGTGCGTGTTGGGTGGTACTTGGATATTAGGTCAGTGATGTAGTTCGGGGCAGTATGGTGGACGGCTTTGTACGTCAGTGTTAGGATTTTAAATTTGATCCGTTGCGCAATCGGAAGCCAGTGGAGGGATTGGCAGAGGGGGGTGGCGGAGATGGAGCGGTTGGAAAGGTGAATGAGTCTGGCAGCCGTATTCAGGATGGACTGAAGCGGGGATAGCCAGCGGCGAGGCAGGCCAGTGAGGAGGGAGTTGCAGTAGTCGAGTCGTGATATGATGAGGGAGTGGATGAGCTGTTTAGTGGTTTCTGGGGTTAGGAACGTGCGGATTTTGGCGATGTTGCGGAGTTGGAGTCTGCATGAGTTTGTTAAAGATTGGACTTGGGGTTGAAAGGATAGGTTGGAGTCCAGAATGACACCAAGTACTCTGGCCTGCGGGGCGGGTTTTATGGTGGCGTTGTTGGATGTGATGTAGAAGTCAATGGGGGGTGGGGTCCGGGCTGGGGGGAAGACAAGAAACTCGGTTTTGGAGAGATTCAGTTTAAGGAAGTGGAGCGACATCCAATCTGATATGTCGCTCAGTAGTAGGTGTGTGATTTGGGCAGAGACCGAGGGGGTGAGGTGGGGGGTTGAGAGATAGATTTGTGTGTCGTCGGCATAGAGGTGGTAGTTGAAGCCGTGAGAGTGTATGAGTTGGCCAAGGGAGGAGGTGTAGATGGAGAAGAGAAGGGGCCCAAGGACAGAGCCTTGAGGGACCCCAACAGAGAGGGTATACGAATGACTGGCTTCCATCTCAACGTTCTTTATGTGTTTGTATTAAGGCTTATTCATGTGTGTGGCCATTGCCACTCGTCTGAAAAGCAATCTGCGATGGATTGCTTTTTGGAGGTGTTTGCCAGGCGGCGGGGAGGCAATATGTTGTTTCCTCACCAGCTGGTTTAACCCAGTAATTGCAAGGAGGTTGTGGCACAGTACCATAGAATTGCATTGGTTGCATTTGGCGGTGATAACACCCACCTCAAATGCAAAATACGGTTTGGAGGGAGCGCTATAACCACAGCTCAACCCCCTAGTTTAACCTCCCCCTGGCCACACATTTGGAGACACCCTTTCTGTCAAAAAGTATGAGCTTCTGTAGGATACAGTGTGGTGTGAATGGACCAGTTAGTTGTTGTACAGCACTACTGCCATGTTAGAGTCATAGTCAGGGGCACATTTGACACGAGGCAAACAAGGCGTTGGCCTTGAGGCGGCATTTTTCGGGGGAGTAGTGCCATCCCCAAGAAGAAGAGATGCTGCTTCTCCTGGGCAACAGGACTGGGCAGCAGAGCGGAATGAGAGGACTGCCAGCCCCCAGAAGAAGGGATGTTGGTTTTCCTGGGCAGCAGCAGAGCAGAGTAAGGGGAGCACCAGCCCCCGGAAGAAGGGATGCTGGTTTTCCTGGGCAACGGGGTAGGGCGGCAGAGTGGATTCAGGGGAGCGCCGGTCCCCGGAAGAAGGGACGCTGGTGTTCCTGGGCACCGGGGCTGGACAGCAGAGCGGAGTGAGGGGAGTGCCGGCCCCAAAAGAAGGGATGGTGGTTTCCTGGGAACCAGGGCTGGGCAGCAGAGTGGAGTGAGGGGAGCACTGGTCCCAGAAGAAGGGATGCTGGTTTTCTTGGGCACCGGGGCTGGATGGCAGAGCAGAGTGAGGGGAGCGCTGGCCCCAGAGGATGGAGGCTGGTTTTCTTGGGCACCGGGGCTGTGCGTCAGAGTTGAGTGAGGGGAGCACCACCTCCCAGAAGAAGGGAGGCTGGTTTTCCTGGGCACCAGGGCTGGGCAGCAGAGTGGAGTGAGGGGAGCACTGGCCCCGGAAGAAGAGATGCTGGTTTTCCTGGGCAACTGGCATGGGGGAGGGGGGATATTCAATGGTAGGTTTTTATGAAACAGAAGTGGATGATTCAATGTCCTCTGTATATTGCTGCAATACATCAGATCTGTATTTAAAAAACACATAAGCAGTACATCTCGGCAATGCATGCTCATTTCTCTGTGTTTATCCCTGCAATTGCAGAACTATAACTGCAAAAATACTGCAATTGCAGAACTATAACTGTTAATCCTGCCAGAAATCCAGTGAGATCCTAACTTCCTGTAGAGAGCCGACAACTCTGGCTCTGCTGCACTGAAATCCCAAACAGTGTTATCAGCCTGCCGAGTTCCTCCCTGATGAACTACAGAAGAGTGGGAGAGTTCTGTAGTCCAGTAGGGGACGCTATGGTGTGCTGCGGTGCGTTGGACATTACTATAGAGATGCCATTCATAATGATCTCCACTGCAACACACTGCAGACAGATCCATGCTTTGCAGTGAGATTCAAGTTTTACAGCAAATTACAACACATGAATCTAAACAGTCCCTAAAGGGTCAGTCCACTGAGAAATTAACCCCTTCACGCCTAAGGGTAAAACAAATGTTAATGCCTAAGCACAATTTTGCAACTTTGACCTGTGTTAGTAAAACCGTACAGATCATCACAACTACTTTGTACATCCGGGTGGATTATCCAGTGGGTTTTTTTTTTTCAGAACAAATTGGGCTTTCATTTGGTGGTAAATGGTAATGGATACCTCCTGATTTTTTTTTTATTATCAAAGGAAAACTGGTTCAAAATAGTAAAAAAAATATATTTTTTTACATTTAGCTGTACATTTCTTGCTACTACCATAACCTACCACCAAAGAACAACCCCAAATATATTCTACTGCTCCTGACGATTGCAGCCATACCACATACTGTATGTCTATGTTATTTGTTTGTACCCAGGGGCGGACTGACAACTCATGGGGCCCCCGGGCAATAAGGGATCATGGGGCCCCTGTGTCCTTGCCCAAACTCAAAAAAGCCTATGAAAAAGGTAACAGGGGCATCTCATGGGGCCCCCTACTGACCCTGGGCCCTCGGGCAGTGCCCGAGTCTCCAAATGGTCAGTCCGCCCCTGTTTGTACCTATAGTACGGCCCAGAAACCATAGTGCGTATTTTGCTTTTTTTTTTATTTATCTTGCCTAAAACACACTGATGCTGACACTGATAGTAACTAAAATATATATATATATATATATATATACATACACACATACATGCACTGACCTTGAGTTTTGACCCTGACCCTGACCCAAACACTAACCCTGGCACTGACCTAGATTAAACATTGTTCTGTGTTTTTTTTCTTTAAATTTTTTTAAATATTTTTTTTCTCTCTCTCTCCATTCAAAGAGAGAAAACAGGGGGGCGGGCTTCCCAGTGACTAATCATATGATAGCCAATCAGGTGACTTGGAATCGGCGAGACCCCAGAACACACCGTCCAGCACAAAGACGGATACACAAATATGTGTTCCCATGGAAAAAAGCCCAATCCATTGGGGCCGTATATTTGCGTATACTTGACGGAAAGGGCTTAATGTCCATTATATATATATCCGTTCAGTCGTATCCAACCCTTGGCGATTGCACTCATAAGTGACTTTTTCCATGAATTCTCTTAGCAATTATTTTACAGGGTAGGTTGCCAGGTCTTTCCCCAACCCCCACAATGCAGGAGATCCCGCATGGCCAGGGATGAAACTAGCACAGGACTGGACAGGAGCCAATTAACCTACCAGCATGTCTTTGGAGTGTGGGAGGAAACCGGAGTACCCGGAGGAAACCCATGCAAGCACAGGGAGAACATGCAAACTCCCTGCAGGAAGCGCAATGGTCGGGAATCAAATCCATGACCCAATTACTGCAAGGCAGACGTGCTAACTACTAAGCCACTGTGCCAATATAGAAATACTGTATATACAATCGTCAGGAGCAGGAGAATATATCTGGGGTTGTTCTTTGGTGGTAGGTTATGGTAGTAGCAAAAAATGTACAGCTAAATGTAAAAAAAAATATTTTTTTACTATTTTGAACCAGTTTTCCTTTGATAATAACAAAAAAATCAGGAGGTATCCATTACCATTTACCACCACTATATAGTGGGGAAAATATTTATTCGATTCCCCTGCAGATTTTGTAAGTTTGTCCACTTACAAAGAAATGAAGGATCTATAATTTTTATCATAGGTGTATGCTAAATGATAGAGACGGAATATCAACCAAAAATCCAGAAAAAACTCAATACAAATGTTATAAATTGAGTTGCAGTTCAATGAATAAAGTAAGTATTTGATCCCCAAGCAAAACATGACTTGAGTTTTCTTGTTAGTTGAGACGTTTCTTGTAGTTG